GGGGGCAGGATGTGGTCCCCGAGCTCCAGCAGAGCTTTGCTTTGGGGCTGGGAGAGGCTCCGGAGGGCCCTGAGTTCCGCCAATGCTCTACGGCCCCGGTTCCCCTCCTGTGATTTTCGGGTATGTCCCCAACTCCATCCCTCCTCTCGTGGCACGTCCTCTCCCCGTGTGGATGAGGATTTGTTGTGGAGGAATCCTGCCGTGTACTCTGATCCCAAACACCTGCCTTGGGGTACCCTTCATTTCGTGGAGGTGACCAAGATGGGGCAAGGCAGTGAAGAACTGCACTCAGGAACGCTTGGTGGGGTTGGACTTTCTCCTCTTCACATTCCAATGTGATAGCTCAGGAGATTATTTTTTTACAAATACTCATTAGTTGAGTCACATTAGCAAAGCCAGAATACCAAGAGTGCATTTTGTCACCTGCCTGAAGAGCGATGCCTTTAACTCTGTCCCTTGTTGACTCAGCCTAGAGCTCAGCTGTTTGCTTTGGCATGTTTGTCTGGAGCTGCTCTGCAGCGTGCTGCGTTTACATCAGTCCACAAAGGCAGTCTGGCTGCAGAACAATGAAAAATTCCTGCTTACTGGCTTCTCTGCACTTGGACCTACCCAACCAGAGTGCCTCTCAAAGCCTGGCTATCAAGTTGTGGAGCAGCACTTCTCCCATCTGCCCCTGTTCCACCTCTCACACAGGGACACGTGGCCAGCAGGACTTCAAATCTAAGCCCAGGCAGTTCTCCTGCTCATCTTCCTCATTCACCCTCCTTCTCTTAAACATGCCCTGATGTTAAGTCTAGCTCGAGGTCCCACAATCAGTCAGGTCAGACTCAGCAGCTCTGTGGCTCTGTAATGTGACAGTGAGAGGAGCCCCAGGAGCTCATTCTGGTTAATCTCCCCTGGAGAGGGAACTGGACCATCTTGCTCTCAGGCAGGCAGCCTTCAGATAACAAGCTGTTGCCATGTCTCTCCAGGATCCGTGTGCCTCACAAAGGAAGGCCTTGCTGAGTCCCAGACAAAACCAGTCCAAGGCTGCTGGCTCATACTGGTACTTGCAGCACGCTGGTGTTGGAGAAGAACCACCTGTCCTCTTTGCACAGTGTAACTGGTGGCTGAGAGCCGTGGGGTGAGGGTGTGAAGAGGGTTGTTGCTTCTCTGTCAAGTTAAAAAAAAAGTTAGATTTAAAAATTCTTTTTCAGACTTGACTTCATCTGTCAAAATGGAGCTGGACATTCAGTGTGAGGAGATGAGCCCGTCCAGATGGGCTGAGCTGCTGTCCAGAATGAGGACCTGCGAAACCATCAGGTACTAACTAGTTGCATGTCTTCTAAGTAAGAACTGTTGTGTTTCTCTTCTGTGTTTTTCATTTGCAGAACTGTTCACTGGTGGCTTAGAAATTGCAGAGTAACAGGATTCTATTTTTACCCAGAAAGTTAATTTAAAGGAGGTGGGGGTGCGTGGGGGCTGCAGGGCAGATGCTGTCAAGTAGCTGTTACCTAACAGCCACACACAGGCCACATGCCATCAGCTTTTAAATCTTCACTTGGCTTTCAAACACACCTGCCTCCTGTGCTTGAGCAAACCAGCGTGGGGAAACTGTCTCCTGGAGTGCAAGCCGTAGGACAGGGATCAGAAGAGTTGCTCCAGCACTCCCCCTCTACTCCTTGGGGACTCACACCCCGTGGTCTGGCATTGTCTTGCTTGGGCTGGAGAGCATGGGCCACTTCAAGCCAGTGATGGCTTGGAGGGCATCAGACAGGCAGGCTGAAGGTGACTTGCCTGTGCTTTGCAAAGGAGAGTTTTGCAGGCAAGCTTCCTGGGCCTGACCTGGACTTGCCAAGGTCTGCCTCGGGCAGCAGCAGGCGGTGGGGAGGCTGTCCCTGGGCAGGGGCTCCAGTCACAGTGGATGAGAGCAGCTGTGGCAGGGACTGTTAGTCGGTGTGGAACAGTCCCACTGGGAGCCAGGTCTTCGTGCCAGAGGGAGAGAAGCAGGAGCCTACTGGAGCCTCAGTTCTCCTAATGTTCTCTAAGGAGAATTGGCCAGGCAATGTCTGGGAGCCCTGGTTGTGCCTGGGGCTGTAGAGCTCTTCACGACACCTTCCTTTTGCTCCATGTTGTTCCTGCCTCCCTGTGTACACCTTCCTACCTGTCCTGGGCTCCCAATCCTTGGTTCTTCTGTTTCTGCTCCCCCCATCAGCAGCAGCCAGAGGAGTGCTGGTGTGTGGTGGGAGCAGCCTCTGCCACGCTGCCACTCGCTGTCTGTGTTCCCGGGGCCACGCCAGGGGCAGAGGGTGGTGCAGGGCAGCGTGACTCACCTTGTGCCAGCCCCGCTGGGCACCGTGCAGGACCCGCCCAGCACCTCCCAGCTGCCTCCCAGTGAGCTGTGGGTGAGCTGTGGCATTACACACCGGGTGGTTGGTTGCTATCAGTGTTTAAATGAAGGTGTGTCCTCCACCTGCAGCCCTGCCAGGGGGGATGACTTGAGTCATGTGGCCTCTTCTGAGCAGCAGGGAGGAGGTCTGTGGCTTGGGGAGCTGCCATCCAGCCCCTCCTGTCCTGCAGCCCTGCAGGGAGCAGTCTTGGTTTGGGCCAGACGTTGCCCAGCAGGTCACGCCCATGCTTAGGGAGGTGTCAGGGAAGGCAGAGGAGTCAATTGCTGACTTTGCTTTCGTGGGCAGTGCTCCAGCAAGGGAGAACAGAGCAACCCTGAGGACTGAAGTGTTCCCTCCTTCTCTTTCAGGATGGATGACTGCAATCTCTCCAGCAGTAACTGTGAGGATCTCTCCTCCATCATCAGTACGAATCCATCCCTCACAGAGCTGAAGCTGAACAACAACGAGCTGGGAGATGCAGGCATCCAGCACCTGTGTAAAGGGCTGCTGACACCAAACTGCAGCCTGGAGAAGTTGTGGTAAAGCCCCATTGATTGTCTTGCTCTAACATGCTTGCAGTCTGCTGCCAGTGAAGTCAGGAGGTGAACTGGTGTGTGATGGTGATGAGAGCCATGCTGATGCACCTCAGCACTTACCTAGGCCAGGGGGTTGGAGAACCCCAGACACTTTTATCCCAGTGATAGGTTTATTGGAAGACTCCATATCATCCGTCTGTCTTCCTTTGTCTGTCAGCACAGGGAGGGAAGGACAGGCAGGGTTTTCCCAGCCAAGCAAAGACTTTCTGTAGACTTCCTTCAGAAGAGGTGGCAGGTACTGCCCCAGCCCAGGCAGCTGGATTATCTCTTTAGGCAGGTTTAAACCAAAGAACGACCACCAAGGGCCCCGCTCTGCTGTTAGCATGTATCTGATGTTTCCACAAATGCATCTTCCAGGGGCCTCTTCTGCTGGTTGTAAGCACAGTGCTTAGCATCTGGTCCAGTTTGCTCACTCCTTTCTCTAGGAGCCAAGCAAAGGGTGTGAGCTGTGAGCCTTGGCTTTCCAAGAGCTGTCAGTCTTCCTGCAGTCTGCCAGGCTGGCTCTGCCCCAGGCCTTGTCTTCTCAGTTGGAGCAAGGGCAGCCAGTGATGGTCCAGGGTCAGCTGTCCTGCCTGCTCCTCCCTGCAGATGCAGCCTCCTGCCCCCCTCAGTGTGGTACACCAGCTCCAGCAGTGACCGTGGTCTGCATGCCAATCCTTGGTGTTAACTCTAAACAGGGAGTGTTATCACTGCTAGAAGCAGACACTGTCTGCAAAAAGAGGCTGCTAACTTCAGCAAGTGCAGTCAGTTAGAAGAGCTTTAGCTGAAAAGTGAAATCACTGGACAGAATTAGTTCTGTTCTACCCCAAACCAGGACATGGGTCTTCAAGAAGTAACTGTGATACTCTGTACTGGACGACCAGCACAAGTTATTTTTCAGAGCGTTCATCCTAAGCTTCAAACTTTGCCAGGTGCTCAAGTAACAGACTGCATTAGGCTGTTTCAGTTCTGCAGGAACATAATTATCCATTTTTGGAGGTCCTGGTAAGGTGCGTTAGGGAATAAACAAGCAACCAAACCCAAGTGAAACTCAGCACCACCATGCACGACACCTCTCTGTTGCCAGGAAGTCTTGTCCAGTGACTGACTCTCCACAGTGATGCCGGCGTGGTGCCTACACTGCCTCTCCCAGCCTGAGTGCTGAAGGATCAGCTCCATAGATCCTTCTGGTAGCATCCCTTTACATTTCTAAATGACATCCAGGGATTTACACCAAGCTGGGCAAGAGTTTTACTTTTAGCTACCCTGGATCACATTTCCAGAGAGGGCAAGAAACCCTGAGCTGCCATTGCTTTATCTCAGGGTTCAGCCTTGTGATCATAGAGTGGTTTGGAATGAACCTTAAAGACCATCTCGTACCACCCCCCTGCCGTGGGCAGGGACACCTCCCTCCAGGTGATGAAAACACTTCTAGGAAGCAGTTGTGGTGCTGCTTAACGCTGGGTGGAGTGTTCTGCTGGAGGTGCTCTGTGGGCAGGCATGCTGCAGGAAGCCTGGGAGCTGTGGCTGTGCCACAGGTAGGGCACTGGCTGCTGGAAGGTTTTGGCCCCCCTGGGGAGCAGCAGTACTGACCTGGGCGCGGCGCTTCCGAGAGGGTTCCGCGCCGTGCTGCCCTTCCCAGGCTCTGAGCTCAGCAGGGGGCTCTGGGGAGAGCCCCCGTGGCTGTGGGGGTGCACTGCCCTCACCCTGGCTGCCCTTCTCTGCAGGCTGCAGAACTGCAATCTGAGCAGTGCCAGCTGTGAGACTCTCTGCGCCGTGCTGGGCGCGCTGCCCACCCTCACAGAGCTGCACATCGGGGACAACAAGCTGGGACCTGATGGAGTGAAGGTGCTGTGTCAAGGGATCAGGAACCCCAACTGTAAGCTGGAGAAGCTACAGTAAGTAGTCACTGGGCATCTTTGCTCATCACACAGGTCACGCTTGTCTCCCCTTTGAGACAAACAGGAGTGCTCTTGCCAGATGTGGATTTCTTCCTGTTTCATCCGAAATTGTCTCCTGCTTATTGACGCTGGTAGATCCTGTGTGTGTGTGAGAGCTGGGTGTCTGTTCCCATGGGCTTTGTTTAGCCCTTCTGGCAGTGGTGGCTGGTAATGCAGGACCTCTCAGGTCCCCAGGGATCTGATCCTGTTGCACTTGGTCCTTGGTTTATGGCTGAGCAGGAACCAGGTCTGTTCACAGCCCCCGGTGCCTCTCGGGGAGGCTCGGCAGTGAGGCTGAGAGAGTGTTGCCATCCAAATAGCAGAGGACTAGTGTAAAATTGGGGTGGGTAGTTAGTCTTGCTGCAGTCCTCTGGGGTCTAGTTTAAGAATTAACACTTCCTGAAATGAGCAGGGAGATGCTGTTAAAAACTCCTCTGGTTTTCTGGATGTTGACACGTTGCCTCGTCTCAGCTGGTGTTGTCATGTTTTCCACCCTGGGTAATACATGCTTTGTCCAGAGGAGAGGACTAGTGTAAAATTGGGGTGGGTAGTTAGTCTTGCTGCAGTCCTCTGGGGTCTAGTTTAAGAATTAACACTTCCTGAAATGAGCAGGGAGATGCTGTTAAAAACTCCTCTGGTTTTCTGGATGTTGACACGTTGCCTCGTCTCAGCTGGTGTTGTCATGTTTTCCACCCTGGGTAATACATGCTTTGTCCAGAGGGTGTCTTCTGGGTAGAGGGACATGGTGAAGATGGTAATTTTTCCCCTGGACTTCTTTCCTTCGTGCAGCCTGGAGTACTGTGAACTCACAGGTGATGTTATGGAGGCTCTCAACGCCACTCTGCAAAGCAAGCCCACCCTGCAGGAGCTCAGCCTGAGCAACAACGCGCTGGGGGATGCAGCCATCAAGCAGCTGTGCCAGGGGCTGATGGCAACGACCTGCAACCTGAAGATACTACAGTAAGGAAGAGCTGGTCATTGCTCACTGCAGCCAGTCCTGCTGCTAGTCCTGCCATCCATAAGACAAGAAAAATTATTGTCAGGAATGCTTGCAATTTAGGCCACATTTTTTCACTGGCTCAGATTTCTGTAACTGGAAGCTGCAAACAAATGTCTGGGGTTTTCAGTTTTGTGGGGTTGTTTTGAGGGTGTTTTTTTTTGGTATGTGATTGTGAGCTCACTCTTATGCCTGTTGGTAGAGTATGAGCACGTATCCCAGGTTGAGCCTGCAGTTTCAAGGTGTGAGTGCTCACCCATATCTCAGAGCAGAGGAGCAATCGTCCTCAGCAGCTCCAGTTCTTACCCCTGAATTCACCAGCCAGCCGAGTGCATTTATTCAGATCCTTGTTTTACTTCAAAACAGGGGTGCTGGATTTGCCTTGTATCTGGGGTAAAGCCCCTGCAAGGGTTTTGGGGAGGAGCACCAATCACCTTGTGTTGCTCCTGTGCTTCAGCAGGGGCTGGCTGCCAGGGATCCACTCTGTCCTACAGGCAGTTCCTCTGCAAAAGCACGGGCAGCATCGGGGGAGCTTGGCCAAAGTGATCCCTGCATGGGCAGCTGTGAGTGGGTGGTCAGAGCAGAAGTGTCCTGCAGCCTGCTGGAGCACAGGGGTGGGCTGGGGGCTCAGCCAGAGCCCACCTAGGACACCCGTATCCCCTCTGAGCCTCCTGGGGTCCAGCAGTGCCAGTGGAGCTGCGCTGGTCTGCAGCAAGGGACCGGCCTGCAGACCCTTCTCAGCCTGAGCTGGGGCTCTTGGGGTGTGTCTGACACGGGGGGTCTGCAGCAACAGCTCCCAACTGTGCTTGTTTCTGCAGGCTGGAGAACTGTGGCATAACCAGCGATAGCTGTGGGGAGATCAGTGCTGTTCTCAGCAACAAGTCCTCACTGACAGACCTCTCCGTGGGGGATAACAAGATCGGGGACGCCGGGGTGGCCCTGCTGTGCCAAGGAGTGATGCACCCCAACTGCAAAATCCAGAAGCTGTGGTAAGAGCAGGCAGAGGTTACAGAAATCCCCTTCGCAGGCTCTGACCTACCTGTGTTGTGCTGCTGGGCTGCTCCTAAGAGGAAAGTTTCTCAGTTACACCCTCTAGTGAAACAAGAAGGTCTCTACTGCAAATTACTTCTCAGCCTGGGTGGAGGACACCGTGACTGAGCAAGACTGCACTGAAATCACCCAGAACATTGCCATGGCTTCCTGTTGAGCTGCCTGCCTGTTGGAATTGCATGGTCCTGTTTCTTTTTGGTGTTACAAACAGAGCTTTTGGTGCAGCTAGGGGGAAAAGTAAGGAGAAAGCTGTGTGGTGTGAATGGGTTTTGTAAAGGACAGAAGAAAATGAGATGAAAATGATGGGACCAAAAATTCAAAATACTCAAACAGGACTCTGCTTTCTAATCTAAGTCATTCTTGGGGGGAAAAATAATATTTTGTTCTTCCATGCAGGTTATGGGACTGTGATCTCACAAGTGCCAGCTGTAAAGACCTCTCCAGACTCATGAGTACTAAAGAGACCCTCAATGAGCTCAGTCTGATAGACAATAACCTGAGCGACTCGGGGATGGAAATGCTGTGTGAGGCACTCAAGGATCCCAACTGTAAACTCCAGGAGTTATGGTGAGCTGCTCTCAAGTTTCACATGCCCTCTGCATCCTTTGGAGACCTCACTGAAGAAAGCTGTAGGTGAAGTAATGCCCACCAGATAGATCCTCAGCCGTGGTGGTTCCACAAACAAGTTGTGCCAGTTGTTACCTGGAGGATTTAGACTTACAGAGCTAAAGAGATCTGTATTTCTAAACACTGTAGGCACTTTGAGGATCTGCCCCATAGTCATCCTGTTAAAAACAACAGGACACCAAGCATCACTTGCAGAGCTTCTGTCTAGTACCTTCTATTGTGCAACAAATGGCTGCCTAGAGACTTTTGAGGTTTTGAAAGACCTCATGTAGCAGCAAAATGAGTACTGAGATCAAATATGTCAGGTTCTTCACAGGATCCAAACTCTCTCATTGGTGAGCCAAAAAAGGCTCCAATGCTGTGAACTGTTCTCAGCATCCTCTCTGCTGACAGCATCACCTGTTAGGTGGGATGGTCTGATATCAGATGGCCAGCAGAGAATTGTTCTTTCACACAGAACTTTAACAAGCAGCACATGAACTTACCTAAACCACAAGTTCAGCTCCTGTCCCCAGCTGGGTTCTTCCCCTGCCCTGGTGGCCTGGGAGTTGTTGAGGTGCCTCAGGAGCACGTGGTGGATCTGAGAGGGCCTGTGGGAACAGCACACATCACCTCTGCTCATTCTGCCATTTGTGGGCAGGCGTCTGTCCTAGGTGCACCGTCCCAGGAAGAATCCCAAATATGAAGGCTGAGAGAGGTGCTGCTGAGAGAGGCTGGAGCAGATGTGGGCTGAGAGCAGTACAGGGATGGTGGGAAGGCTTTGGCTCCAGTGCTCCCACTGTCTGGGCTCCTGCGAGGCCAGTGTGAAGAAGTGAGCAGTGCCTGGTACTCTCCAGAGCCTCCAGGTAGATCTCGGGCCCCTCTTGCCTTGCAGGCTGCGGGAGTGTGGGCTCACCACGGCGTGCTGCAAGGCCATCAGCTCAGCCCTGAGTGTCAACACCCACCTCAAAGTGCTGCACGTGGGCGAGAACAAGCTGGGAGATGCCGGTGTGGAGCTCATCTGTGAAGGGCTGCTGCACCCCACCTGCAACCTCCAGTCCCTGTGGTAAGCTGCACCCTCAGAAGTCCTCTTCTCTCTTGCTCTGTTTCCCTCCCAAGAAGGGTGTGCAGCGAGAGGAAGAGAGCAGAGGATGGGAGCATGGAAATGTTTTGTCCTTGTGAAAAAATTCACAGCACAAACTCGTTTAACTAGTCCATTAGGAAGTAAATGGAAGCCACAAGTGCTCCCCCTGTGCAATGGTGCATCCAGAGCTGTCTGCAGGTGCTCCCCCAGGCCCCAGGCATGGAACGGGAAGCTCATGGTACAAGACCTCCAGGGTCCAAAGCAAAGTGTGGGTTGGCTGGAGGATCTTGCTCTGTCACTCATTGTAGAGTTTCCTGTGCCCTTCTCTGGACTCACCCAGGGGGTGTCTCTCAGGTGGGACTGACCTCTGGTGCCACCTCTCACTGTGCTGGCCTCCCCCCCCTCCCTGCAGGCTGGGCCACTGCGATC